TTCCACTGTTTGGGGGCAGGAGACCCAAGACCTGAACTTAACACAATGAAAAAGGAAAGAAATAAGGAACTCCCTCCAGTTTTCAGCAAATCTCAGCTCTGTCCTCATGTGTTTATTTCAGGTGTGTTGCGTAGATTTCTCTCCTGCCATTCGTTTGGATGTCAACTGCTCCCCTCACCCCCAACTTTCTATTACACATCTTTGGCCACCCAACTCAAATAATGTGACTCTGGGCAGCATGCAAAATCACTGAGCAAAAATACAAAGGAAAAATAACATATACTGCTAAAGGAAGCTAAAACAATTCAGCGACAATCAGGATTAAAATACATCTCACCCGTTGGGAAGTCTACTGCACTTGACCCAAGTGCCCGGGGAAAGATCCTGGCTGCCTTCCTAAAGGGCTGCTCCCCACAACAACAGCCCTGTGAGGCCCCTTGTGCTGAGAAAGAATGGCTGGTCTAGGTGGACTTCCATGGCTGGGGGGGCTAGGCGGGGCCTGCCTGGAACCATTCCTCTGCCATTGGGGGATCTCAACCACTCCAGACTCTGTGGCCTCGTCCTTCTCTGGGACCCAGAGCTCACCTACCTCTTAGGATATCATGAAGTGGAAAGTCCTGCTGGAGGGGAGCCTCCAAGGAGCTGTGCTGGATCTGGCAGGTCAGCTGCGACTTCACGTCTCCCTGCCCGAGCAGCACTTCCACCGTGCTCTCCACTCGGTACGAGATGCTCTGCTGTGCACCAGAATCCAGAATCTTGGTCTGGGCCTCCTCTATTTTCTTCCCATCCTTCAACCAGGTGACTGTGATCTCTCGGGGGGAGAATCCCTCTGAGGAGCAGTTGAAAGAGGCCCGAGCCCCTACCCCGATTCTGCCTGGGGGGCCACGAAGCAAAGGCTGGGATGGCCTGGCTGAGAGAGGAAGGGGGGAGACGTCAACTGACAGTCGCACATAGACCATAGCAGAGTCTCCAAAACTGCTTTTGGTCAAAGAGACTCAGCTTCGTGCAGGGAATTTGCCCCAAACATCCCTGGAAATCAAGTTGGGGTGCAACGTACCGATCACAGAGACCACAGTGCCTTTCCCCGAAGCCAGCTGTCTCTCTGGGTTGCCTGCCCTGAACTTCACGCAGTAGTAGGTCCCAGCA